GCGATTCCGGCGTTGGCAATCACGATGTCGAGAGAGGTGATGCCGTGCTCGGATTTGAGCTGAGCGACAGCGTTCTTGGGGTCTGCTTCGGCGGATGAGTCGAGCTTGACGATGATGAGTTTAGAACCCGAGGCCTTGGACAAAGACTCCAGTGTCGAAGTGGACTTGGCGACGTCTCGGACTGCGGCAATCACAGTTGTGTTTGGGCGCTGGAGCAGGCTTTGGGTGAAGCCTTTGCCGATGCCGCGGTTGGCTCCGGTGATCAGATAGGTAATGGATGAAGACATGGTTTGGTGTGTGGTGGCTGCTGTGATGATGTCGAATGTGTAGCAATTGGTAGAAAGCTGTGAAGTTATGATCCACACGATACACCTCTTCCTTATGTAGGCTCCAACCTGCAATAAAAGAGATGACAAACCCCGAGGCCGAGCATGCTTAACAATCTTTTGGTTCTTTCTGGCGCGCTGGTGCTGGTGAGGAAAAGTTCCATACGAATGATGCAATTTGGCCAGAAGGAGAGTTTGTTCGTCCGGTGCTGAGAGATACGGGCGCAATCTGGTGAAACACCTAGACTGATCAGTCGACCTCGGGATCTAAGCATGGCCCGGTGGGTGATTAGTGAACGTTGAGATTTTTGGTAGCCGGACCGATACTTAGTGAGCCCGGCCATCCCAGACTAGGTACCTAGGTAGTCTACCACGCAACATCTCCATGAGTTACGCTGTCTGATTCTAGCCACTACTGCCTCTTGATTATACGTTTTGGCATTCGTCGGCATGCGGATTGGCAGATAGCAAAGGGTGAGCAGTACATGATAGCGCATATAGTAAGGCAGAGGCGACCTCGGGAACATTACGGACAAACCTCCGTGAACCAGGCGTTGCACCTGTAGTTCGGCGGTATTCGGGGGTACGTTGACCTGCTGCAGCATACTTATCGCGCACGCAATGTTAACGTTTCAACTTGGAAAGCGGGGGATTCTCTGCAACTATGTTAGTTCCCAAGGACTGAGATTGAGATGAATGATTACCTATGCATTTCGGCATGGAGGTAGGCGGCGTTAGCAGGAGCGGCTGCCGAGGTTGCCGAACTTTGGCCGAGTCGAAGCCGTCCACGGTGCCCGGGTGGCTTTAAAGGCATCATTCGCCTCTTTGACTACGCATGGAAACACAAGACAGGCAGCCGTGAATGAATAAGAGGAACAATGTTCGACAGAAACGTAATAATTCATTCGAGTATCACCGACCCTCTACCGACGGTACGAACGAGAGCAGCCAATCTGGATATAATAAACACTGTACAGAGAAAAGAAAGTCTCGCATCTAAACACGACACAGCTTGCCGTTCTCGTTAGGCAGGCCGTCTACACTCTCTACCTTCCACCTCTCGCTACCGACACCGGTAGTCGCAAAGAAGACATCCTGCGGGTCAAGCTTCTTCTTCAATTCCAACAACTTAGGGTAGTTGTCACCAAAGAACGCATTACCAAAGTCTGGCTCGAGACGATCAGCCTCAGCAAGGTAGGATCCAGCGCCAGGACTAATGTCTCTCCAGGCCTGCATGTCGCCTGCCTGGAACTCCTTGCGGATCTTCAGTATCTCCTCGGCGGTGCTGTTGATAGGCCAGCGCACAGATTGCATGCTGAAAGAGACCAACGGGCGCCAATGAGTGTTGACGGCATTTTCGGTGTTGTATGGGTCTTTGGCTTGCATGTTGAAGTGGACTTGTACGCGGTTCTTCTCGCTCGATCGGCGGATGTTCTCGTATACCTCCTGACGCTTCTCGGCTGTCTCGAAGTTGGCGCGAGGGAAGAGGCGCGATGCGGTGGCTACATTGGGCTTCTGAACGGCCTCGAGAGGGAAGGATGAACGCCACGCGTCGTAGTAGTTGTCGAAGTGAGTGATGTTGGGGTCGTACTTGACACCCAAGTCATCGAGCTTGTTGAACCAGGGCTGGAGGAGGGCGGTGGCTTCCTCGACATTCTTGCCAGGCGCAAAGAAGGGCGAGAAGGCGAATGCAAAGGTGCCGTTGGAGGGGATCAGAGTCCAGTATGTGTATGTACCGGCATCGGCGTTGTCGATCCACAGGTCGACGTATGAGCGGATGGCAGCCCAGAACGTCTCGTTGCCTGTGTCCTTGGAGTTGAAGCCAAAGCGGGAGGCTGTGACTTCAAGGTCGGGGTGGGCCTTGACGGTCACGGAGGTGACGACGCCAAAGGTACTGCCACCGCCACCGCGCAGGGCCCAGAAAAGATCAGTGTTGGACGTAGAGTTTGCGACGACGAACTCGCCATCAGCTCTGACGACCTCCATGGAGAGCACACTGTCAGCGCCAGTGCCGTACAATCCGGTCAATGGCGAGTGACCACCTCCTTGAATGTAACCTCCCATGACTCCGACTGTCTCGCCTTCACCACCAACGACGATTCTGCCCTTCTCAGCGGCAGCCTTGTAGATCTCGAAAGCCTGGACACCAACACCGCTCTTGAATGCAGGGCCAGTGTAGTTGAGCTTCTCATCGACGTACTCTTCGATGTACTCGATGTCCTTCATGTTGTGCGTCCAGATGCTAAGAGCATCCTTTCCACCACTCTTGCCGAGGAAGTCGTGGCCAGTGTTCTTGATGACAAGTCTGACACCCGAGTTACGAGCAAAGTTGACGGCGAGCTGGACGTGCTTGGGTTCAGTCGCGTTGACAACATACATGGGGAAGCCTCCACGAGTGCAGCCATGCGAGTCGTAGAGAACCGGTGGGGCACAGGTCAGGCCTTGAGCGACTGGGGACATCATCTCAATAGGGTCGATCATATGGATATATGACTTCTGCCATGCTGCCACAGTGTACTCGGAGCATTTTGCAGCGTTGTAATCTTCGCCAGGGTAGCACACTGCTGCCAAAGGAGTAGGTGCACTGATGACGCGGTCGCCAGTGAGTTTGCTGAGCTGGGACCAGGCTTCATCGGAAGGCCATTGGGGGTCATCGGGGTAGACTTTGCATCTCGAAGAGTTCGTTGGTGTTGTAGCGTCGAGCGAGCCGGGGAGAAAGAGGGACCTGACTGCTGAAGTGACGCCTTGGAGGTCTACATCTACGTTAAGGGTGTTGGTTCCAGCCTTGGCCGATAGGACGGGTGATGCCGTGGTCGACGTCGCAGCCAAAACCGCGAGCCACACAGCGATGGAAGCCATTTTGAACAGTTCGTCGGTGTAAAACGACGACTCAGTGTTTCACCGAGGGTACCAGTCTTTGGCAATTGATCGTCTCCCGTCGAACGGCTGCAGATCTACATGTCTGTCAGAAAGTTTCTTTTTGCCATTGACGGCCGTTACTCACTGTACCTTTCCCCTGGGGCTTGCGGCTGGTCTGCGGATGACGGACCGTTGCGCACTGAGACGAGAAACAAGGCGATAGTCATAATGGTCATCTTACGGACTGACTCGATATAGGAGGCGTCGTCCAATAACCTGTGCTTGGCAGGATGTAGGCTAATGTTCTTTGCCCAGAGTGTGACCGCTGATCTTGGCTGGAAAGATTGTTGACAGCTGAGATAACCGGGGGCGACGACATGGTATTCAAGTAATCACGGCATCGCAACCTATCCAGGCAGTTCCTGAGTATCCATGTATGCAGATGTTGCGTGGTACGGCGTATCTCACATGCATATTCTATATATTGGACCTATCGCAAGAAGCGATCAGCAATGATAATGCGAATTCTGCACTCGTGAGGCAGTCCCTGGAATATCGACTATGCCCACGTGCGCTCGAATATGTCGTTGGGACTAGTCTCAGGCACATCGTTACTCGAGTCGTGAGGCTTGCCGCCCAGGGTCTGCCTGTTGGTGCCGGCGTAGCTGCCGGTAGTGCAAAGTCTGAGAGTCATGTACGCACGCAAGCGCGAAGCTGCCGCGATTGCCTGACAACGGACCTGCAGCAGTGGAGCTCACACGTAGTTCTAAAACATGCGTTCGTGATAACGGCTTGGAATGGTGTCAGTTATTTCTCGGCTCTCAATTGCAATTGAGTGCAGTGAGGATGGCGACGCGTCTGGCAGGAGCCGCGTCAGACGGGTCGGACAATAAACTAGTCCCGGGGGATCGCCTCCGTTAGCCACATGGCCGCCGACCTCCAAGCCTTCAACGCCAACAACGCCATAATCCTGCAGATCGGCATACTTACTTCCCCTAATCGCAAGTGGCTCAAAACATCGATTCGCTCACTTTGCAATCGCAATCGAAATCCCTAGTGGCAGTGGCTCAATTGTCCATGGTTGCGTCCAGACCATCGACCAGCCAACGGCAGGGCGGACAGGCCTCCAGCCGGAAGATTGCGACCGTGTCCAGGGCTGCCCTTGACATGTCAGCCCAAATTCGGACCGTGAGAAACCGATTTGGACTTCGTGAGACGCTCTAGTCCTCTTTCTGGTCAAGCGAGAGGGGAAGACACGAGCGGGAGTCGACTACTGTTGCCGCGGCTGTGGTGTGCATAATGGACCGCCTCGCTTTGGACGACGCCTCTGGTTCCTGGCAGGTTTTTATCCTTGAGACGACAAGAGTCTAGAGCAGCGGCTGGTCCGAGGCAACCTTTCACCTCGCCGTGCAGTGACAGCATCCGTCTTGGCCACCAAACATCCCATCCTGACACCAAGGGAGTGTACGTGCGACTTCCCGCGTGGACGCGCGACATATACTAGTCACATAGCGAGGAAAACTCGAAGGCGTCCAGTGCGGGTACATTCGACTTTTCCTTGGGCGGGCCAATAACACCTACAATATCCGTCACACTTCAGATCCTCACTGTTTGCGTCGTTACTCCACGTTCGCTTCTCGGTGCGATCATCCGTCGTGGACCCACGATCTTCATAAGCCCTCTGGTTCATCCGGTTCACGATCCACTGGACAGGCCAACATCGAACTCCACGCTGTGGGCTTCAACGGCTACTGCGCACCAACGGACTGAGCGCTCCACAGTCGCACGACGCTGGCGACAAACACCAGCAGGACTATGGTGGAAAGCCGACAACCCGAGGTCCTGGCCATCATCGGTACTTTCACAGTCGTCGCCTCTCTCACAGTCTTCCTCAGGGTATGGTCGCGGTACCTCGGACGCAACTTTTGCTGGGACGACCACCTTATCTTGATAGCCTTTGTCCTCCTCATACTAGATACTCTAGCAACATGGATGTACATTGTACTGAGCGGCACAGGCTATCATGTCTATGATCTGCCTAAGAAGTCCGTGGCGGAACAGCTCGTTGCGATACGATGGAACTTCGCAGTACAGATGATGTACCACCCACGTACGTATATCGGATCTGCAGGACATTCCGGAATTCTGCTGACATGTGGCGTCTGCTTCTAGTCATGGGATTGATTCGAGCTTCCATCATCATGTTCCTCTTCCGCATGAAGGATAGTCGGCGGCGCGTACGATACCCGTTACACCTTACTTTCTGGCTGAACATCATATACTCCGTCGGGTCGACTATAGTCAATGTCGTGCAGTGCACGCCTCGTGCCTACGCTTGGTCCAGACCTGCCATGGATAGCATCGATGCCGATGGAAATGTTGTACCAGGCGGTACTTGTATCGACGCGCGTACCTTTGTACTTGTGTCGTGTGGTTTGTCCATCTTCATGGATCTTATCATCATCCCAATTCCTTCTATCATGGTATGGGGCCTCCAAATGCACCGACGTACGAAGCTCCTAGTCGTTATCGTCATGAGCCTGGGTTGGATCGCGACAGGTGTCTCGATCGGCAGATTCATCGTGTACTACTACCGATTTGCTCCTACCAACAAGGATCGTACCTGGGATATTGGCATCGGAATCAGCATCGCTGAACCAGCTGTCCACATCATGACAGCATGCGCGCCAGCGACCAAGTGCCTCTTCCGAACGCTGTTCCCGCAATATGGCACCGGCCGGAACACCTCTTACTACGAAGACCGTACCGCGGGCACAATGCGGCCCAGTACCAAGGTTTTCGGGAACTTCAACTTTGGGCTATCCAACAACCCAGATGACGAGATCACTATCCAGGAACTTGGAGGCGCCCCTAGGACCGCCCCGCTTCCACCCGTGAAGGATGAATGCGAATATGGCTTGAAGGCAATGGGAAGCTTCGAATCCAAGGAGTTTGTCGCGAGAGGATTAGGGAGGAAGAAAAGCTGCTCGAAAACCGCATGCACAGAATCTAGTGAGCCCGTAGAGGCCGAGCCAGAGCATTGCCTGGGGCAAGCTCGGTGATTGTACTTTGAGTCTGCGTTGATGAGCGATGATAGCGTTTGAGATACCAGGTGAAGATATTCACACTCCTTTAGCACATAGTAGTAATCGATGACGTCTACGGCCAATTGAGATTTGTGCGTATGATTGTTCCCTCGCGTTGACCTGACTGGGAGTGGAAGGTGGCGGGGCACGCGTGGGCGCGCCGCCACGTGAAGGCCTAGCACGATTTGGTGGGCGGTACCGAGACCCTTGCCCATGTGAGACGGAACAACAAACATTAGCAGCGACGCATTCCAGCACGACAGCACATGCAGCCACCATGAGGATTATAGAACTCGTAATCGATGTAGGCGACCTCAAACTTTACAGTAGTCGCTTTCTAACACGCGCATAGGGCTACAAGTCATACGCTGTTCGTACCGTCATTTCTGGCTGGTAGGGCTTGTTTACGCTCCCCGCACGCAACGACACGACTGACAGTCGACCAGGGACGAGAGCTTCAATTCAATCACGGGATTAAACGGATCCGGAAAGTCGAACATTCTCGATTCAATATGTTTCGTACTCGGAATCAACAACTTGAGCGTGGTGCGGGCGCAGAACTTGCAGGCGAGTGTGGACAGCAAGAAGTACGCGATACGGGAGCGCTGACAGTACTGCAGGATCTCATCTACAAGCGCGGCCAAGCGGGTGTCACCAAAGCGAGCGTTACCATCGTGTTCGATAACCGCGACAAATCGAAGAGCCCCGTCGGCTTTGAGGAACATGCACAGATTTCGGTGACAAGGCAGATCGTGCTCGGCGGAGCGAGCAAGTACCTCATCAATGGACACCGCGCGCAACAACAAAGCATACAGAACCTGTTCCAGTCTGTACAGCTGAACATCAACAACCCGAATTTCATGATTGCACAAGGAAAGGTCATGCAGGTACTGAACATGAAGGCAAAGGAGATCTTGGCTATGCTTGAAGAGGCTGCTGGGACACGCATGTTCGAGGACAGGCGAGACAAGGCGTACAAGACAATGGCTAAGAAGGAAATGAAGGTGCAGGAGATTACGGAGTTACTGCGAGACGAAATCGACCCGAAGCTCGAGAAGCTGCGAATGGAGAAGCGTGCATTCCTGGACTTCCAACAGACGCAGAGCGAGCTCGAGCGCCTTACGAAGCTTGTCGTCGCATACGACTACATACGATACAACGAGCGCTTACAACAATCGGCCGAGGACCTTGAAGCCAAGAAGCAAAGGGCGAAAGACCTCGACGCGTCTGCTGTGCGCATGAAGAAGGAGATTGAGAACCTCCAAGAGGACATCAAACAGACAAAGGCAACACGAGAGAAGGAGCTGCGCAAGGGCGGAAAGTTTCAGGCTCTGGAAGAGGAAGTCAAGACGCATTCGCACGAGATCGTCCGCCTGACGACAGTGCTAGACCTAAAAACGACGAGCATGGCCGAAGAAGTGGAGCGGAAGGAGGGCGTCGAGAAGAGTGTGAAAGAATTGGAGAAGCTGCTGCAAGAGAAGAAGCAGACGTACGAGAAGTTGCAAGAGAAGTATCAGACAGCCCACGCCGAGCTAGCGAAGCAGACGGAGGAGGTGGAGAAGAAGGAAGAGCTTCTTCAAACCCTACAGACAGGTGTGGCTTCTAAAGAAGGCCAGGAAGGCGGTTACCAGGGCCAATTGCAAGACGCCCGGAATCGCGCAAGCGCAGCCGCGACCGAGCAAGAGCAGAGCAAACTTCGGATATCACATCTTGAGAAGCAGATCAAGGAAGACGAGCCGAAGGCGAAAAAGGCGAAAGAACAGAACTCCGGGCTCCTCAAAGACCTCGAGGCTTTGAAATCTCAAGCCCAGAAGCTAGAAGCGGACCTTGCGAAGCTTGGCTACAGCGAAGGTCAGGAAGCCGATATGTATCAGCAAGAGTCGCATCTTCAGGCACGCATACGTGAACTTCGCCAACAAGCAGACGGCATGAGGCGACAGGTTGCGAACATTGACTTTAGCTACAACGACCCCTCCCCGAACTTCGATCGGTCTAAAGTGAAAGGTCTGGTCGCTCAGCTCTTCACTCTAGAAAAGGAACATACCCGAGCAGGTACCGCTCTGGAGATCTGCGCTGGCGGTCGGCTGTATAATGTTGTCGTCGACTCAGCTGCCACTGGCAAGCAACTACTCGAGAACGGCAAACTGAAGAAGCGAGTGACGATCATTCCACTCAACAAGATTGCAACTTTCAAGGCGTCGGCAGAGAAAATTGGAGCTGCCCAGAGGATCGCGCCTGGCAAAGTCGACTTGGCCTTGTCGTTGATCGGATACGAGCACGAGGTCAACGCCGCCATGGAGTACGTCTTTGGGTCCACACTCGTCTGTGAGGATGCCGAGACCGCTAAGCGCGTGACCTTCGATCCAGCAGTGCGCATGAAGAGTGTCACTCTACAAGGTGACACATACGACCCAGCTGGTGTTCTGTCTGGTGGTAGCGCACCTCAGTCTAGTGGAGTTCTCATCACCCTCCAAAAGCTCAATGAGATTACGACAGAGCTGAGTTCACAAGAAGCCCAGCTTCAGTCGCTGCAGGCCACCATGGCCAAAGAGAAGAAGAAGTTGGACGCTGCTCGTAAATCAAAGCAGGAGCTCGACCTCAAGAGGCACGAGATCAAGCTCACTGAGGAGCAGATTGGCAGCAACTCTTCCTCATCGGTAAGTAATGACATCTAGAATGCGAACCTGAGGCTTTGCTAATTATGAATTAGATCATCCAAGCCGTAGAAGAGATGAAGCAGACCATTGCTCAGCTCAAGGAAGACATAAAAGCGGCGAAGACTCGCCAAGACGAGGCCAACAAGGACGTCAAACGTATCGAACGCGACATGAGCGAGTTCAGCAACAACAAGGACAGCAAGCTTGCTGAACTACAGTCATCGCTGGACAAGCTCAAGAAAGCTTTGAACAAGAATAGCGCTTCAATCAAGCCCCTGCAGACCGAGATGCGCGAAGCTATGGTCGAGTCCGAGCAATGCGGGAGCGATCTGGCAGCAGCACAAGAGCAACTTGAAGAGGTTCAGACCAATCTGCAGTCGCAGCAAGCAGAAGTGGACGAGTTGCTAGCTGAGCAGTCTCGTGTACAGGTAAGTTCTCTAGACCGACGTCACTTGTCGATGCTAATTTTGCTAGGACGCACACGACTTAGCTGCAGCCCACTTGAGAGACGAACAAGCGAAACTCACAGGGTTCGACGAAGAGCTTCGCTCACTTGAAGACGCGATCAGGTCGAAGAACTCATCCATCACTGAAGGCGGTCTTGAACAACAGAAGCTCGGCCATGAGATCGAAAGGTTCCATAAAGAACAAGAAGGTGCAGCTAGCCATGTTAAGGCGCTCGAGAAGGAGTATGAGTTCATCGCGAGCGACTCCGAGCTCTTTGGACGTGCCGGCACAGTCTACGACTTCAAGGGCGTGAACATGGCCGATGCGAAGACCAGGCGGAAGTCGTTGGAAGAGCACTTCCAGCAGAAGAAGAACAAGATCAACCCCAAGGTCATGGCTATGATCGACAATGTTGAGAAGAAAGAAGCCAGCCTCAAGCGGAACATGTCGACAGTCATCCGAGACAAATCGAAGATTGAAGAGACTATCGTGAAGCTCGATGAGTATAAGAAAGAGGCGCTGCACAAGACCTGGACAATTGTCAATCGCGATTTCGGTCAAATCTTCAACGAGCTGCTGCCAGGCAGTTTCGCGAAACTGGATCCTCCTGAGGGCAAGACAATTTCGGATGGTCTGGAAGTCAAAGTCATGCTGGGCAAGGTGTGGAAGCAGTCACTGACAGAGCTGAGTGGTGGTCAACGGTATGCACTCACCCGTACTCGCCCGGATCACATGCGCTAACATTTTCTAGATCACTTATCGCCTTATCCCTCATCATGGCCCTTCTCCAGTTCAAACCTGCACCCATGTACATTCTAGATGAAGTCGACGCCGCGCTGGACCTGTCGCACACACAAAACATCGGCCGTTTGTTCAAGACCCGCTTTAAGGGATCGCAATTCATCGTTGTCAGTTTGAAAGACGGCATGTTTCAAAACGCAAATCGCATCTTCCGCACACGGTTTGTCGACGGTACTAGTGTGGTGCAAGCCTCGTCGGGATCATCTGGATAGGTATTGATGTTTGCGTAATGTGTTATGAGACATGGTTTGGATACCCGGTACGCATGGCTTGGTTTGCGGAGTGGAAAGATATCCGTGTGGTTCTGCATAGAATGGTGTTGGTGGAGTCTTGTTTATGACACTAATGTCCCGGTTGGGAAGTTGGTATGCACATCCGCGGCCCAAACGGCCACTTCCTCGTTAAGATGTCTTGTCGTCCATGTCTCCTTCCTGATGCGGAAACCGAAGATACAAGCTTCCTCTACACCCCAGTTCAGAGCAACACCATGTTTTCTACAACTGCGCGCTACCTATTCTTTCTGCGCACCCACCTACGATACACCTATTGACCTCACCATCGGTTTGCTAATCAACATACCGTCCGCTAGATGCGTGATCAACTGGGCGCACACGCTTCAGATACGCAACAACGGCTTCCATCGCCGGTCCGCTCATGCTATCGGCACCACCGACCAGGGCCCACGCAATCGATACCCCCGCGTATGCCTCTATCACACCTTCGGGCATACCAGGGCTGATCGCACCCTCTGCACACAATCTCGGTAGCTTCCTGGGCCCGAGCTCGCCGACGTCTCTCACTAGACATTACACCTCACTTCAGGACCATGCCGACCAGATCGTTAGCACTGAGTCATCAGAAAACGACGAAGGAATCACCCCAAGGCGACATGTCGACAGACGTGAAGGTTTCAGCTGGGATCAACGATCAGGCCTTGGGAATGAGAGCAGGCACAGTCGCAACCCGATGGCGATGGAGCAGGAACGCCCGAAAACACCTCCACCGCTGGAAGAGATAATTCGAAGGACAACCATAGACGATGCGGACCACATTCAGAACAGCAAATTGCAGCATATCGACAGTATGGACTCGTACGCTTCTGAGACTACAGCTCGAACGGGTTCCTTTTCCACAGAGACCAATGATTCTTACGTCCGCGATCACAGAAGATCATCTATCGCAGCTTTTGCCAAGGGCATCGTACGGCATGTGCCAGAGTTCAGGATGCTACACATGCCCGACAGCAAAGATGACCAAGACCGGCGAGATCCCCAGGAAGGAATTCCGCTTAAATTAAACAAGAAGGACCGCATGCTATCATTCGCACCACTTCCTGTTGTCAAACCAAAGGAGTCTTACGAACAAGCATCAAAGCCATCTGTGGTTATCGAAGAGCCAACGACACCGACAAACAATGGAAAGATGATATCGAGTCCACAGTCTCCAACGCGAAAAGGCGGACTACGGGACCGCAGAAAGGTCAACCTCGATCTTTCCATGCCAACCGTCATTCCCGACTTACCTGCTCGCGGCCGCTCACCTGTCGATATCATGGCCAACCTCGGTGCTCCTCGCGCACGAAGTCCGAAAACACCGTGGATTCGCAAGGAGCAGCCGAAGTGGGAGCCAGCGCCAATGGCCAAGGCTACGCCAATCCTCGAAGAAAACTACATCCGCGAAAACACCTTAGCGCTGAGGAACGACAATCAAGGTGGCATAGGTCTCCTGCCCGATACCGATGCGATCTTCTCGTCGCAATCCCCGAAGTTCGAACGACCGCCACCGAAAGTACGAGATCGGTGTTACATTGAACGTCCGAGATCGAAGAGAGCGAGAAGTGGCAGAAGTGAGAAGAGTGGTACGAGTGCCAGCGATTCGACGGTGGCCAAGACACCAGATGGGAGTTGGACCCCAGCAGAAGAGAAGATATACAGAGATCAGCAAGCCCGAACAAAGGCAGAGCTGCAGCAAATAGCGAGCGAATCCAAGGCGACACGTTCGCGCCGCTGGTTATGGCTGAACAAATCGAGTGAAGATGCACCTCCCTCTCCTGGACCCGCGCAATCTCTCCATCGCCGCTTCTCTTTCAATCCCTTCCGACGCTCAAACCGCATCTCCGACCAATACGGCACAGAGGCTACCAAACAACAAACTCCATTTTCCTTCTTCCCGGCTCGGGGCAAACAGGTGCCTCCAGTTAAGTCTCTCGCGCAAATGCATGCACCGCCGGCCTTCATCCCTCCAGGGCTTCAACGTGTACCAACCCCACCAATGTTCGACTCAAACGGCGAAGTTAAAGGCAAGCTAGCAGACTTCTTCTTCGACGTCCACGGTGGCGGCGCAATCACCACACGCAACAAGCCCAAGTCCAGTCCAGGTGGCTACTGGGATTCTGACGCCCTACTCATGAGCTTAGCAAACGACATCGACAACCCCTCGGACGAAGCAGAAGACGAAGGCCCTTCCGGCCCCCGCAGCGACTTCATCAACCCACCTGTTGACTTTGGCCCGAGCAGTGTCCTCACGGCAAGCACAAGCAACGAAATCGGCAACGCAGCAGGTTACCTCGGCGTAAAACCACCAGCCAGTCCCTCCCTAGCCGCCACATCCCCCATGCTGGGCCACGACGTCTGGTCCCGCATCCACCAATTGCACTACCCCGACACCCCCGACGAACGCACTCTCGCAGCGCTCGCCCGCCAGGAAGAAGAAGAGCGACGCAAGTTTGAATGGCTCGTCCCTGAACACCTTCCTAATAGTCCGCTGTGCCCTCTGCATCCGAAGTATAGGGGGCCCAGCGCGGACTTGTGTTACTGGCATGGACGCAGGTCTGGTAATGAGATTAGGAAGGGGGAGTATGGGGGGTTGGCGGCGAAGGGGGTTTGGAATAGCGCGAGTGGGAGTAGTGGGTACAGCCAGCATGATTATGGTTTTGGGGATAACGGAGTGGCTGGAGGTATGCCTAGGCTCGCGGGGACGCCGAGTAGGGAGGTGAAGAAGAGGAGATTGATTAGCTTGTCTAATTCTTAAGTGCTAGAGTTGTTCTTGACGTCAAGTTGAAATGCCTCTTGAGACAGGCGAAGAGGATCAAACATCACGCCTGTGAGAGAAATGATGTTTACATACGAGAAGATGAATTCTAGACATGCAATTACCGTCTACTAAACCGTCGTACCTCATGAAATGCGCCAGTGAAGGAGCCCGTCTATCGTAATGCGAGTGCGCTCGGCACCATGCGCCGTTGTCCCTCAAGACTTCTTGTACGCACTAGCAGGCTTCGCTATCTTGCCGGCATCGCTCCACAACTGCTCCCTCTCACGAATGATCTGCTGCGCCCATGCCTTGACTTCCTCGCTCTTGATAACATCTGCGACCCACTGGAATTCCCCAAGATCTCGCTCGCACTTGGACTCGCGCTCGTATTCGACCATCTGGACGAGTAGCTCAATCTTGTCGATATCGTGCACAAAGTGCGACTCAGCCGTCTTGCTGTCCTCGTATTCCTGCCATAACGCCCTGATGTCCTGGCCGTTGAGTCCACCGTTGAATTTGCCCAGCAGGTTTGTGCAGATGTAGTCCATGGTCTCGGTCTCTCTCCTGCTCTTCTCCTCTTTGGAGATTCCGTCTACGGGGGTAATGTCGCCGACAAGCGCCTCAGCCATGTCGTGGACAACAGCCATGCGACAGCATCGCGCGATGTCGAGCTTGGAGCTTATTGAGGCAGGAGCCATCATGGTGAGGATGCTCATGCGGTACATGTGGTCGGATATAGATTCGCCATCGCCAATTTTGAAACGCTGCCATCCCGCACGCTTGGTCGTCTTTAGGCGCTCGAGGAGGTGGAAGAAGGGGAGCGGTGAGTCGGTGTTTTCAGCGTACTTAAGTGCGTTCTCTGAGAGGACTTTGAGGCATGTTAGTATTGTGCGGATACAGAGCATGAGGGGTAAGAGAGGTGTCGCATACGGACGAGCTATCGCTTGTTCATGACATACCACTCTCGACTGTCCACTTCTTCTGTTCTGCTCTCTTCGCGTCAAGTACACCGGTGTTGGGGTCGGGCACGCCGTTGACCTGGGTTGCTTCGTCGACTGTCATGATTGCTTTGTGTCTCGAATGCGGTTCGGGGTCGGAGGTTTATAGAAGTCCAGTGGGTGCGTGATTGTCTTATAAACGGTGACTGTTTGGTGAGTGAAGAATGGCGGGACAAGTGACGAAAGTCAGACAGGGAACAGAAGGCGCGAACGGACCTATCGATAACACCCGCCTTGGCAAACAACGCAAGGGTCCCGTCACACCGCAACACCACGCATGTACCCCAAGTCTCAGGGACTTTGACCAGGGTCACCGCGCGAATGTATGCCCTGCGGTCGCAAACATGTCTCGACCGCCCTCAACCGCCTCTACGGCCACCGCGACTACCATGAGCGGCCATGCGCGCACCGCGTCGGTCAAGACAATTCCCAAACCTCAAGCAGTGAACCCAATAGCAGCGCCCGATATTCGCCTGTTCGTAACCAATTTGCGATTGTTGGATTTGGATTTGCGACCGGATTGGCCTGAAATCACGACACAAACTTTCTCGGCTAAGAATGCAGACCAGCGACAGAGAATTGGCGGGGCTGAATGGGCACTATTTCGACTCTTCGAAATATGGGATCCCAATGAGACAGCACAGGTATGCTGAAATGAAACCTCACGCTGATATATGTCTGACTCAGCTACAGAAACTCCAACCCTTCTTCCCGCCACTCGAACCACTCCAATCGTTAAACCTCCGCGCTGCGCTATACCGATGTCTGAACGAGTTGAAGAAGAACGGCGTTTTGGGTAGAGAGTCAGTTCTTAGGAAAACAATGCTTGACGAGTGCAAGGGCGAGAAGTTCTACGAGATATTGGCTATATTTTCGAATGTCGTACTCAAAAGGGTTCTTGCAGCGCAAGACGGAGGTGACAGAGAAGCCGTTGTCGCAAGAAAACTGGCGACAGCGTCAACACTCTCAGTCGAACAGCAACGATCATTACTGCCCCTAGCTATCGCACACAAGGCAGCGCTCGTCAACGTGCTGAGACAGAAAGAAGAGAAGAGGCTGAAGTACATGGAATTCCATGGTCTTCTGGACAAAAAGGCAGCAGATATCCGGGGTCGCATACGCAAATGCAAAGATACCCCTCGAGCGCAAAAGCCAGCGATACCACAGAAAGAAGCCAATGCCATCAAGAAACAGCTCAAGGACAACTGGATTGGCAACCAACAGTGGCTCGACGTAATGCTACGCGGCGAGAACGTACAGGCGGACGATGCGTTCCTAAACAGCCGTTTCGACAAAGTCTTGCATATGGTGGAAAAAGGCAGAAAACTAGAAGACGTCGCGCCTGAGACTGGATTACTGGAGAATCTGCAAGCAAGAGTGCAAGAGCAGCAGGAGAGGTTACAAAAGTGGAAGGCTTTCCACGCTGAGCTACAAAACGACGACTCAGGGAAGGAAACATCAGGAAGCGGACAGACTACGGCGCCAGTAAAGGAGTTCCACTTCGATGACCACTCGCAATATCAATTGCCGTCGGCGAAGCACACAGCAGAATCTGCGAGTGTAAAGCGGCCGACTATGCGAACAGAGTTTCAAGACATCCTGTCTGATATGGACAGTGAGCTGGCGCGAGCCGCCAAAGTCAGGGCTAGTACTGCATCTACAATTATACATCATAGAAGTACCTCGACGGCAAAGACTGCTCGCCCACCACTTCTCACAAGGAAATCTACTCAGACGGAGGCGATACGGAAAGCGCCAGTGATTCCAGCTAAGCCTGTCAAATTACAGTCACCATCAAGACCAAACTCGTTAGAACATATCCCGGTCCTACCCAGACCATCTCGGCACGTTCCGACAACTGCCACACCAATCGACTCAGATGCCACACTAATTGGTCAATCATCTGCGTTGAGTAGAGCTATGACCCAGCATGACGCATCGCCGACGGAGACTGATAACGAGCGCACACCAGTACCGGAGACTAGATCTGCAGTTTTCGAGCCCGTCGTCGATAGCTCATCGTCCGAAGCTGCCAAAACACTTACTAATTACTCGGAGCAAAAAACAGATCTCTCTCCTGAAAAGCTACTTGAGCCATCGCCAGAATACCCCTCTGAACCAAAAATCCCAACTTTTGATCACCCAGAACTCAATGCTGAAGAAGTACTTGCCGACCAGATCATCGACTCCATCGGCAATGCGACCCCATCTCCGGTCAAGAAGCCTCAGCCACGCATGTCCCTCTCACTCATCGAACGCACACGCATGACAATGGCACGGACAAACTCTTTCGAACCTGTTCCAGAGTCACCTGATCTACCGCTGCCATCTATGGGACCACCACCGATCCCTTCTATCACTGGAGATGAAGACGGCGACCGACGCGCAACACTGGCCGAACGAACCCGGCTCACTATGGAAGCCATGCAATCCAACCCTCGTCCCTCCGTCTCCAACACGGCAAAGAAGGAACAGCGTAAATCTAGCCGATCATCACTCTTCCCCGTCAACCAATTCGACACACCCCGGACCCGCAAATCGTTCGAACTCCTAGAACAGGCAAAGCTCGAAAGTATCGAGCGTACACCCACAGAGCAATTGTTCAGTGACGAAGTGGATTACGATAGGGTGTTCAAGTCAAGACCGAAGATTGCCACAAGTCCGGTCTGGAGTCCTGAAGGCGGCGTTGGTGGTCAAGAAGAGTTTGGAAGTGACGGTGAAGATGTGGATGGTGTTACTGGTATAGATCTGGGAGATGTGGATCAGGACGATGACGGAGAGGATAGGTTCAAGGAAAGTTGGATGGATAGTCCTAGTCACAAGAAGGGGGTGAGGAGTATGAGGTATTAGATACGATGGAGTAGGATTGTAAATGACATATCAACATTAGGACCAGCCCTGTGCGACCATCCATCTTCTCGTCCCGCTCACGACCAATCCTTGACTTCCACATACGTTCTCCGCTCGCCACGCTTATCCACTTCTCCGTCACCAGTATCAATTCTCGTCTCGTTTTGAGTTGGATCGAAACAAGTCATCTGAACAGTACCGTTACATTCTGGATACAGTTCACGCGTTTTCATATCACAGAACATCTGCTCGGGCTCGGAATAGAAGTCAGGTCCAACACTACCGGTACTTTGGCAGATCTCCACTGCACTTTGCGTGACGTCTTGACTCTTGACTAGTACTCCATCGAACTGCCTCTGGAGCGGATGGTCGGGTGAAGTGCGCCGATACTTCGATTTGGGAGTATGGTGGAATGGCCAGTAGGATGAAGAAGATCGCGATCGTAGAAGCGACCGACGCTTTGACGGCCCAGGCGGGCATGATTGTCTCTCTTCACACTTATAATACCACCAATCGTCGTTGAGACACATCTGGTCGTACATAACGATGAGATCGTATCGTTGCTGGTACGTGAAATGGTCGTCCTCGCAGATGTGAGGGTCTGTCGTGCTATCTTTTGCAGCCGGGATACATGCGGAGACGGTATCCAAAGGGAGACTTGCGCCTTTAGGTGGCGCTGGACTGAAGATCTCCGGGCAGAGCATTGGGTCGAGCCTGTCGTATGAGCCAAATCGCGCCAGCGAGTCGCACATTTGTGAGGGGTCTTCTTGCCATCCATGGAAGGTAGTGTTGTCGAGCTTGAAGTCGGGAAGATGAACTTGGAATCCTTCGTAGTGGGTCGCCGAGTCTCCGTCGTCGTCGGGCTTGTCGATCCACAGGCATTTCGGTCGCCCGTCTTGCGTCTGCCCGGATTCGGACTTGAACTGGATCTGTGTCGCGGATGGGGACCAGGAGTACTTGTAGTCTGGGTTGTGCGTATTGCATATGGCAGCTACCTCGCCGGGGAGGAAAGCGTACGTGTCGCTGCTAGTGGGGTATGTGACTGCTATAGCTGAGATGCAGATAGCGTCGGTTCCAGATGCGGATACGGTGATGTACTCGGCTTTCTCCGTTTCGCCTGGCTTGATGTAGTCGGCCCAGATGTCGGTTGGACTGTTCTGGCTAATGACCTGTTTGCATTTCTTGTTTTTGCTGTAGCCAACCCGGTCTCCGTTGGCATTGAAGAGTGACACTTCCGGAGCGCATCCGCCGTAACTCAACTTCTCGTAGATCTCGTCCTTCTTGTTCTGCTCATCGGCATCCAACGGCGGCAGACCGACCAGTACGTTGACCTTCGTTTGTGGCTTGGGGTTGCCGTTGAGCCATTCGGGGACCATGGGAGCAAGACTGATCATGGTGAAAGCTACACTAAGACCGAGCTCGGCGAAGAAACCTGACATGACGAGAGTTGATAAGGTGTACAAGTATGGAACTTTGAATAGGAGGGATTTCGATAGTGTAAGATGTCGTTACTGTGATGAGTGTGTTTGAGAGCGTTTGGGATATTTGATAGTAGTAGAAGGTTGTAGCGATAACTGATGGTGCTCTCATCGACTGTCGCTTTGCTCCCTTCTTATATCTGATTGTGACAGGGCATATAGGATGCATTCTCCACACAAGAGATCGCGACGTGTCCCTTTGGCCTCTCGTGTCCTGATGCAAGACCCTCTGGACCCCATTCCCATAAGGATGGTATCACCCACACTGCACGCGTCATGCTCGTTCGACTTTCGTGAGCTTGAGATGCAGAATGCCATCACTGTGCTCTCAATCACTGCTTATGTGTCCTTGTTTCTGCGTCATCTCACTGCATCTGAGGTGTCGGCAGTTACATCGGCCCCGAGTCGCGACACTGAGCACTTGATCTCCTTTCTATGCCGCAGCCCCAACTCCATTGAGGTGCGATAAAAACGATCATGGCCCCCCTCTGTGACATAGAGTAATTAAACATGGCGCCGTATGTCATCCCCTTTGTGCGGTAAGGGCTCTGCGCCGCCTCAACGTGCGGCGTCTGGACTTGCGGCGTGGCGACCATCGTCACTCACAAGCCGCCCCCTCAAGGCCCTGAGGCGGCTCAGTTACTGTCAAGTTTCATCTAGAGATCTTTCCGCCTCTTCGAAGAGCATACGTGACATCCAACACGGCGATCGTGTTCCACATAGTGTCACTGCCGAACTTCGCCACGGGCCGTCCGCAGCAGATGGACAAAGAACCCAAGCACCGCCTTTGATAACGAGGGCTTATGACGTAGCATTGAGACGTGAAATCTGGCATGAGGCTAGATGTGCAAATCTGTTGTCTGATTCGAACGTGAACCCAGGAAAGTTCTGCAGGACGAAGTACGCAGAGCAACGATGGATGAAAGACATAAAAGCCACAACTCTTGACCCGACATCCAGCATAACAGACTTCAAGCCATATCTTTACTCAAAATCTTCTCTTGACACCATTCTACACATTACGCCTTTGTAACAAAGCACCATAGCCACTCGACAACACCATCAACATGCGTCACTCGGTGCCAAAGACAATTGCTCTTGGATTGTTGTCCGCATACATCCTCCAAAGTAGCGGCAAACCAATCATACCGATCGCTCCATGCCAGAACGAAGTCGATTGTAGCCACCCATTCAACAACACGAATTGGCCTCGTCTTGCCCGTACTGATGCTCTCCCGCCCGCACTCGACCGCAGAGCCAGTGGCGGAGGACGCCCAGACAGACCCAACGACAACAGTCCCAACGCACCTCATGTAAACCCAGATCAGCAGAACACTCCTTCTGATGCCGGCGATCAGCAGGGTGAGTCTGGGGGTTTCAGTGAGCAGCAAGAGACATCTGGTGGCTTTTCCGATTCGCAGGAAACCGAAGGAGGGTTTAACGACAACGGGGAAGGCTCTAGTTCGCAACCAACAGCCCCCGAACCAGACGCTCAACCAGTAAACCCGGATCCAGCCCCGAACTCCAACCCGGCTCCAAATCCCAATCCCGCTCCAAACCCTAACCTGGCTCCAGGCCCCAACCCAGCCCCGAACGCACCTGCGGGTAATAACCCTGGTCAGCCAAATGCTGCTCAGTACCCGCCTTCAGCAAGGAACAATCGCAATCAGCCGGCAACCTCCAACGAGAATCCATTCGTTCCAGTACCAATTAATGCTCCTGCAATCGACGTCACAGCGCGCAGGAACGAGTTCCAAACGACCATAGCCAATCTCAACCTCAATGACCGACCATGGTTCTTCTTCAGCGGGATCGAAAAGAGAGATAGATCTCCACAATTCAGCTCTGGTCTCAGTCAAAAGCTCGGACATGGAGAAGACGGCTATCACTCGATGAGCGACGTGCTACCACTCACACAGGCCGTGAGGCCAGGCCAGACATCATACGCGTCGGAACATGGGAGGTATGCGAAAATGCAGGGGAAAACCCGTGCTGAGGAATATTACTGGGCTGTGAACTCGAAAGCGTTTGGTCAAGCAGTTTCAGGAGATGTTTACGTCGCCCTGCCCGCTGGTAAAAGCGTGAACCAACCCTATGACAACAAACCTTCCAACTGGTGGTCATTCGAACTCCCAGAGCTTACACGCAACCCTAATGTAAACAGTGTGACGGTCGCGCCTTTCAAGGAAGATCTCATGATCATGTCCGACGACCCCAAAGAATATCTTCACTGGGGGCCGGAAGTACAAATTTGGAGACAGGGTGATGAGCCGATTGGCGTTGAAGCAAACGAGCTCAACTTCATAACGAAACCCGAGGAACAATGGGAGAGGCTTCCTGACGTTGAGATACCGGAATCGGATTAAGACGACATGGATATACGGTTGTGTTCAAAGCCGAAGGGAGCTTTGACGTTCGGTTTGATCGCTCAATTGAGAGGTTCACTGTCGGAATGGAGGCCGAATCGGGCTCGCCTGGTGTATGTCACTCTTCTATCGTCGCTCATTTGTTGTCCGAGTTATCTGATTTCCTTGTACGCACTCATTTTGTTACCGTATCCGCATGTGTATTATAAACCTACACCTCAAAGAGTCGTATATTTGCCACGATCTCAGAATTGCACGAAGGCGGCCAATGTACAATGTATCGTTACTGGCATGCAAACTACCCGACGTTGGTGATTATCCGAGTCAGCGCTTTAGCTCAGACAAGAGCTCGAGCGACGGGAAGTCAGCCAGATCAGTAGGTTCTGAGACGTCTAAGATAATAGCCGTGAGCGCATAGCAAAGAGGATGGACGCAGATGGGGTGATGTCCCAGGTTGCACCGCCTGGAGTGCTGGAGCGCTCTGACCCCACGCTAACTTGGATTGGCCACTGCAGGGCTAGCGCAGTGCCATGCCACCTCGCCACTTCTGCATCAGATTAATCGTATCTGCGGGCGCGACGAAGAACATTCAGCTGCTATTGGCTCACATTGCAGGGGAGGTATGCCTGTCTCCGTGCCGCACGCGCTCGGGGCCACATGGGCGATGCTTCCAACATCGGGCGCCTCCCTCAGCACATCGACTACGCTTTCCTGCGTAGACCACCTCGCTCGAGCCTGACTTTGATTTAAGTCCAGCTCTTTAGAGAAACCCACCGAGCTTTATAGCAATATGAAGCTGTTAGATCTGCCCAGAGAGCTTTTCGAAACCATCCTACACCATGCCATTCTCGCCCGAGGAACGAAAAGAGGGTTGCGATTGAGACTGATAAACCGTACGGAAACAATCTATCATGATCTGAGATTCCACACTGACAGCCGCTAGATTACTTCGCGAGTGAGGTGACGCGTGCACTTCATATCTTCCGCCTGCTCGATGGAATTATGTTTCGCGTTCCCTACTCTTGGGAAGAGATCCACTTCTTCCAATCTTATCGAGTATACCGAATCATGCATGAGGCTTTGAACGGAAACCCCTTTCTAAATGACGTCCGGAACGTGGCCCTGCAGATATCATTGATGAGCGACGTCCGCGAGGAAGATGAAGGCGTCGTTATGAATGTGGTCCAGACTCTATGCTCAACGATAGGAATCGGCGCAGATTCCCGGTTCCGCTGGAAAAACGAATTCAACCGCCCACAGAAGTGGACTTCTCCCGAATTTGAGAAACAGCTTTTTGGTGCCGCGCTTTGTACCAATAGCCTTTCGCACGTTCGGCGGTCTGCGGCGCTACGAAATGCCATGTTGTCAAAAACCACCTGCCCTGATAACAGCTGCGTATTTGGGACTTTCTTTGAGCTGGCTGGAAAGTTCGGCGACAAGGAACTTCTTGGCTACCTCATGACAAGCGCACCATCTGAGTCCGGCCCAGAGGTTAGGTTCGAGCTTTTCAAACATGCAGCACAAGCTGGTAGGATAGACATCGTTCGGTTTCTCCACGGATATCGTAGCGAAGAGTGGCAATGGAATTTTGAATCTGATGCTAAGGGGAACAAAAGGCCGCAAGATTTCACCCTCGACGGCGGTCATAATCCTGAGGCTTATGACCTCATCCAGACTATGCGCACGGCTCAAGGCTTGCGACCGACGCCAAGTGATATGGTGGACATCAAATTCTACGGCAGCGCAAAAGTTGGGTATATAGACATGGTGTCGCATCTCCTACGAATCGGCGAGTATGCCAATGGAGATCGCACTGGCATCCTCCATATAGCCGTCAAGTACGCTAGCGAACGCGGCCACGCAGCTATTGTCCAGCTTCTCTTAGACAATGGTGCGAATCCGAACATCACTCTCGAAGGTGCGGCGCGCCGCGGTCACGCGAAGCTCGTGCAAATGCTGCTGGATCGCGGAGTCAAGCCCAGCGAGGCACTTGTCGATGCTGGGAGATACTGCAAACCACACACTAAGCTTCTGGCGAACATAGAAAGAGGGCCTTATCTAGACGTAGTGCGGCTACTTCTTGACGCCGGCGTAGACGTAAACGAAAGCATTGGCAAGGACAGCCCTCTCGCCGGAGCAATTGCCGCAGAACATACAGTACTGTTTGAGTTCCTTCTCGAACGAGGAGCGGATTTGCGTTCTCCAGGAACAGCAGAGGAGTGCGTACGGCGAGCGAGAAAGGATGGGCTGGAGTCTATGCTACTGCTGCTTGAGAAACATGGCGTTGATGTCAATGCTGATTTGGAAGAAGCGGTATGATTGAACAGGTATTTCATGTAGATTCATACGCCCTGACAGCCCGAACCTCGGTTCTTATGAGACTAATATCTACCAATGACTGTTCCTAAGAATATCGAAGCTAGTGCTGTCATGCCATGTACCGGAATACAATCTCAATTACCGGCGCAGACCAGAACCAGCCGCAGTCCGAGTCAAGCAGTGTGGCGGAAGTGCAAGAAAACATCGATAACGTAGTTTCAGTAGGCAACGCCATGTTGGCGGTAGCTGATAGAAACGACATGATGGACAAGAAGCATGATTGTAGAGCTGTCTGGGTACTGGGACGCGAGTGCTGCGGACTAAACCCACTTCAGCAAAACAGACATGTTCATTGACCGCGCTTGTTTTGGCGGCGACGAAAGGAAGACACCTCATGCGTAGGTCTGTATGTGATTTTGTTGGAAAGCAAGACCAGCACATCTTGGAAGCTGCTAGAGCTTTTGGAAAGTTCGCATAGAGCGCACAGCTTTTGAAGATGCTTAACGTTCAGGAAGGACAGGCTGCTTTATATACAACCCGAAGCACGGACGTCTCAGTCATGTCTTCCTCTAGCCAGATTTTGGATAACGTATCCGAAACCTTCCTACGTTTCCATGTCTTTGTACAGAATTTCTTTTGTTTTCGGAAGTTGATTCTCAGGATACATGAGGCGCTCGCGGTGGACTGAGAATTGCACAATTCCAGGCAAAGGCACATGTGTACGGCAAGGTTAGTTTTTGGAGAAAACGAAGGAAGGAGCCATTACCTATATCGTTTACAGATTTAGCGATACAAAGTGGTAGTCATGTTGGAAAGCGAGAAAGAATGACATGCGGGAGTTGTTCGTATGGCTTTCGTCGAGTGGACTGGTCTTGGACACACAAAACATATCGGAAGCGGGTGCGAACTTTTTAAGAGAACCTTGGAAGAGGAGAAACACTCATAAATAGTTGCTCCGGGTCTATTCGGATTGTCAGAGAACGCCGCAGGAGGACATGGTATCGAAATCCTTTGCTTTGATTCACTCTCGGGAAAGTGTGGGATAAAGAAGGGCAGCCCAAAGTCCAGCAAAGCCTTTATATGAACCTTCAAGCTAAGGTCTGCCAAGCTGGAAAAGTGCGCATCAGTTCCACCGGAACCGACCACCAGCATCAGGGACCGGCCTGATGCTTTTGAAAGATGCGCATTGAACTCGCCGGAAGCCACCACCGACATCGAACAAGTCGTGGTCTGTTTTAAAGAAATCGTGTACTCCATGGCAAGGAGTGAGGAAGCAGAAGACAGAGCAGCACATCGCAGACGTAAGGAGTCTCTTGGGAAAGAAACGAGCGAGGAGCAGAACACATGTGATTGACAAATCGCTATTTCGTTTTGGAGAAATGGTGTACTCCATGATAAAGACTGAGGAAACAGAAGACAGAGAAGCACATTGCAGACGTAAGTAGTTTTTTTTTGGGAAAGGAGCGAGCGAGGAGCAGAACACATGTAGTCTATCAGTCTCTCTTTTGAGTTGAGGAGGGTCGCTCCTGCTCGCATCATGTTCAGCTCAATGGTGGTTTTTCGATGGTTGCATGCGCAAAAGGTGGATAGAGAACGAGAGAGGCATGATAGTACATTATGTTCCTTTGTACGCTGCCGCTCAACCATGGCGATGTACTTGTTAATCTTCATTGCCCAAAGTCTTTTGTAGGAACCAGGACCACAGCTCGCAGACATAATAGAATCCGGGTGTGTTTTTGTAAATTGAGACACCAAGCCCGAACAGATCATCGGGGGAAAACGTCGATGTTTTTGTTGAGTCGTTTTGTGAAGACACCGTCGCACACTGCGCCGCATATGCGCTCGAGAATTCGAAGTTTTGGACAATGCTCAACACATGTTTAATGTTGAACGTGTTTTTGGGAAACTTCGGAAAGAAAGTGATTGTTAAGAAGAAAAAGAGGTCGACACCAAAAAAACTCTTTATATATACCACTCTGGTACAAATCTTGGGATGCATACCTGGGTCTGTTCAGCAGAGAGATTGCGATGACGATCATCACCATCACCAGCATATCGCAAAGAATGCATAGCCAACTCGAAAACGACACAGAAAACGGTAATTGTCCTCTGATGGGAGTATGCGCCATGCAATGCTATCCTACTAAAACGCCATGGTCTAAACGCCTTGCACCAATACAATATCACAGTTCTTCCACCTCTCGCTCAACACTACTCGTCCTCTCACGAGCCTTCGACTTCCCTTTCTCCATGCGGAAGCCCACCTCGGTCCTCGCATCATCCGTCAGTCTACCCCACTCAAGCAACAGCCTGAACATGTAAACCTCCATGTCCTCCTTCCTCAAGACCTTCTCCGTCCACACCTTGCCATCTCGTGCAATCTTCTCTGCAGCCTTGATATGACCTTCCATCATGCGCTTATTCCTCGCCTCGACGCCATACCCACCGAAGTAAGCGAGCGAAGAGAAGAGATCGTGTAAGCGAAGATCCACAGGAACGAAATGTTTCCAGGCAGTGAGGCGGCCTTCGTACCATTCGCGAAAGAGGGCAGCCTTGAAGACCACGGAGTTGGACTGTAAGAACGGAAGGAAACGACCAGAGAAGCCGGCGCCATCCGCATCGAAGAGGTAGCGGTAGCGCCAGTGCTGTTTGAAGTCGATAGGATCACCGAAACCGAACTCGCGTGTCTGGTCGATGCAATCTTGGCCTGCACAGCGCGCTATCGGACCCACTAGGCGGACATCAGTCTTTGTCTCGAGAAGCCTCTTAATGTCATTCGTGCGTTTCAGCATGTACTCCAGGTGGCCACTATGATCGGGTTTGGGGAGAAGGATCGGTTGACGGGATGTTTCGTTGTTCAGGAGATGTACGATTCGTTGACGGAGCATGCCCTTCCAAGTGCCATGGGTAGTAACACCTTCCGTGGTCGTCCCGCGCCAGAAGAGGACATCCGCTTTGTCTTGGAAGTGAGGATCAGGGAACTTTTCATCGAATCCATACTTGCTTTTGCCCAAGTAATTCCACGGTGATGGGTATCTGATGTCGACGAAACCGGGAGCACGACTCTGGCTGAAGACTGGAACCATATCATGAGTACCCATGAGGCTAGCAGGACTGAGATGCATGCCATGTAGATTGGCGATATCTGGCTGATGGCACGGTTCAGATGACAGAGTCCAATTAGCCACGAATGCGCCCATGGAATGGCCTTGGGTACAAGTGTGACAGAAGGATCTCGTCTGCCAATGCCGTTCTTTTCGTGCACGCGAGTCAGGTGGGCATGCGACAGAACCGAAAGTCTCATACGAATGCTTGATGCGAGCGTCGACGAAGAAATGCGGGTCCGTTCGTACGCGGTCCACGTCCAGCCATTTTTCTGCGCGGTCGGCGCTGAAGTCTTTTCCTGGGCGAGACGAATCAGGGGAGGGGTACTGCTGTGGCTTGTCGAGCGCATCTCGCAACCGCTCGTACGGTGCAGCCACGCGACTCTCATCATTCAGGTTTAGAGCAAGATCCATATCCGGAAGCGACTCGGAGAACTGCTGAATCATGGCCGCCGCGCCATCCATCATCCAACGATGTGTACCGGGTACGTTGTTGAAGACCTCCACCTTCCCGTTTCTTATGCGTAGCCCACCGACCCCCTCATGCGTAGCCAAGACAGTGGCAGTACGTAAGCGAAGATCATCGGCGTTGAAGGACGAGAAGGGTGCCAAGTCTTGTTCGATGTTGTCGTAGTCATCGATTATGATGGAGTTCCGGCTAATGGCGAAGTGGTACCACTTGTCGAAATTTGGCGGAGGATCGCGGTTGTAACGTTTCCGATAGTGCACAACGGCCTCAGGTAGAGATTTGCTCCGATAGGCCTGTGATGCCCACCGGTCGTGCTGGACTGTCGCGATATCGATCAGGGTAGTGATGGGATGTTCCAGTACAGGACCGTGCCGACGATATACGACAACACCGATGGAGAAGGCGATGAGAAGTACGATAAATCCAGCCGACTGGTTCCTGCCCAGGCGGATGGGTACTTTCGATCGTATGCGGGTTTCGATGCTGGTGTCTGTGACGAGGTAGAGGATGAGCGCAATGGTGAGCAGAGTCAAACACAAAACAAGTCCGACGGTGGATTTTGGTGGGAACGAATAAGACACGCCGGTGCCCAGAGCACGGAGAACGCCAACGTATGCAGAGGAAAATGCACCAAGGAGCAAAGCGCTCATAACGCCATACAATCGAGCCTAGCAGGTCAGCGACAGAGTACCAGGCGGGATGTAGTAACGTACCGATTTGAGGAAACATAACGTCATAAAGGGTATCATCAACGATAAACGCAAAAGACCAAGGAGATATTCAGACGGAAACGAGAGCATCCACTCGCGATGCTCAGGCATTGCGGGGTATATGATAATGCCGGCGACGAGGAGGACCAAAGAAGATGCCTGTTCAGTGTCAGATGTGTAATGGTGCATGAAGGCGATTGATGTACAGTAAGTGTCAAGCCGACTAAGAGGTGATTCGAGGTGCCATCTGGAAGGTGGATGGTCCAGTCGTCCGCCTCGGAGATGCCATCGTCGATCAGACGGTATGCTATCTGGACGATGACGCAGTCCAGCAAGAAGCCGAGGAACTGAAGGAAAGGAATGGCGGTTGCAGTCGAGTCTGCGATGGGACAGATGTAGTTGGAGCGCAGCGAGCTGGACTTGATGATGACAAGGAAGCTGCTGACTGACAGCAGGAACGAGGGAATGATGTATCGCGTGGAACCGTCGAAGATGAAGCTGTAGACGCGGTCGAGCTGTGTACGCGGGCGCGTGTCAGCACTCCAGGCGGGGTATTGTCGCTGACTGGGGTGTCGAATGCTGTGGTAGAGGGCAGCGACGAGGGGAAGGAATGACTACATCGGTCAGTACTGTTGGCGCAATGGGAGGGGTTTGCGCACCAATGCAGAGGGGCCGCTGCACTCGACGTCCTTGGTGACGCGGTAGAAGATGGCTATGCGCCCGCATATCGCGAACAGCAGGACGGCCAACAGCGTGCCGACAGCCCGGACGCTCCATCCTCTCCGCCGGCCTGGCTGGCCTGCCTCTGTCCATATCTCTTCGGCTGCAGGTCTGCTCTGCACCTGGTTCAGGGCTATGGCGATATATCTTGTATGCGGTTGCGACTGTGCACTGCGCGACGACCAGGCTTCAATTGCGACAACGGCGAGACCAGTCAGCAGCAGGACGATGGCGACGGTGTGCAGCGGCTTGTCGAAGGCGAAGGAGTAGTCGACGGGGGTTGCAGTGCTCAGGTACCCGGATGCTAGGACGAGGCCGCTATTGTCTTGTCAGCTGGTGTGCTGCTGGTAGCCTAGGACTGTGCTTACCACGGGAAGAAGAGGGCCTTCCTGTCCATGACCGCCGCATTCTTCGTGGCTTTTCTTTACAGCGGTGGGGGGAACAAGTAGTCGCGACAGGCAGCGCTCAACATGGCCCGATGGTGAATTGGGCGACGTGAGAAAGTGATTGTACTGAGGCCCGCGTCACTTGGAGCACGGCTGCCCGGCACCTGCAGCCATACCAGCGGGCTGTGCTAGAGACCCTCACACTAACGGGAGGTGGAGAAGTCCGTGCCCACCCCGAGTCGAACGTCTATTAGCGGTTCTGCTATACGCAAATACGCACTTCTACGACGCATCCCATGTTTCGTCCACTGCCACTCGCTGCGTCGACATCGCAGTCGATGGGTGAAGGCACCCTGCAGTCGCCGATCGGACCCTGGGACGCGATCTCCAGGAACCGTCCGCAATTACATCACGCACACGAGACGGCTATCACGGCAGGTCTTGCACTGCTTCGCCCCGCTGTGAGACGTGCGCAACTTGTGATCGCCGCTCTTGGTCGCCCTTAGCGGTATCAACTCTTCTTCAATTCTTCACCATGATGTTTGCCACTGCGATACCGAGTTCGCTATGAGACAGCAGTCGTCATCAGCCCTGGCGCTAAGCTAGTATCGAAACAGCTTTTCTTGCGAGCGAATGGTGGGGTACGTTCATGTCTCCAGACGCGGGAACATGCGTGCGCCTCACTTTGTGGTGGCGCCAAGCACACGCGGCTGTCAGCATGTCATGCTCGTATTGATATGTGAATACAGTCATGATGGTGTCCACTTTGACGTTCTCGCATTGTAATGCCTCCAAGACTAATGCGCCAGGAACCCGCTTTTGTGAGCAAAGGAGCTTCGTTCGCGGCACTGTAGCAAAATTGGAGCTGCCGGCGAAAACTGGCCGAAGACGATTACCACATCCGTAAGGACTGGCAGTCTGATGTCCGATGAAGCGCCGTGGTGCAAAGACTACTACTGCTAGGTCTTCGGCGCGGATACATGATCCAACGATGCTCAGCTCAGACGACTTATAGCTTTCTTTTGCGGCGATGGTCAAAATCGGAGTTGGATGAGTGGGGTGATCCAAAACCTCCGCCAACGACATCACTACTGTCCAATGGCATCAGGGTCTTATCAACTTGGCTTGGAGTATTCCGTGCAGTGAACATGAGCCCGGTGTATCTGCCCCCCAAAAAAAAGAAGAGTCGTGCCAACTTACTGTGGGCGTGCTTGGTTCGTGAGCACATCGAGGAGGGCGGTATCTGCATGGAACTGTGAGAGTGTGATTGAGTTCTCCAAGCATCTGAGGACAGATGCAGACACTATTCTACAACCTGAAACTCAGACATTATCACATACGTTATGTATTACTCGTCAGCTAACTCGCATATGTGTGCGATACCGTTATTTGGTTCCATCCACTTCATCTACTGGTAATGCGACATCCCGAACCGAGTAGCGAGCCACTCACGACCCCGCAACACACAGTCATTACATACACGAGGGTACTCTCGAAAGCAATATTTCGCGATTATCGGAGACTTCGAGCATCAACCAAAGCCGCAGTCCAGATTTGACCTCGCCAACTGTCACCATTGATGGCTTCCATGTCACATGACTGTGCCAAGCATGGCACATGCCGGGTATATAGGGCTTAACCCGCGATGTCGTCTGCACCTACCAAAGAGCGGTTGCTTCGTAAACACCCAATTCCGAGGGCAACAGCGAATGGCGGGGGCCGCAGCGGAGCGAGAACAGGTGGGCAGCACCCTTCCTAGTTTAGCCCGTTAGACTTATTACACCATTCACATTGAACCACCTATCCATAACATTCCAGACGCTATTAATCTCTACTCACGTCGCGAAGCCGCTCTCAATAAACCACCACCCCACAACGCAATACCCGATGACCATCACTAAGGTTCGCAGCGCTGCCAGAAAGGCGAAGAAGCGACAAACCCTCTTGTGACCAGCTCTTATTCATTTACTTGCAACAAGTGTTAACGCATTATATAGGCTGGGTCACAGAATGCTCCGCCTCCACGTAGGCTCATCGCGCCGCGTATTCTCGATGCATGTAGACATGCTTTGCGAGCGATCCACCTTCTTCAAGAACCAGCTCCAGGAATCACGGCAGGATATGGAGGGCGAGTGTGTCATATGCCACGAAGATCTCGATCCTGTCGCGCTAGACTTGACATACTGCAAGACATGTGGGAACAACGTTCATGAAAACTGCATAGACAGACGGACCACGATCGACAACACATGCCCTACATGTCGTGCAGAGTGGGTCGAGCCGCCATCCTCCCAGTCGATGGATCTTGCACAGGTTGAAGTCAATGGGTTCGACATGTACGCTCAGTGGCTCTACGGATCCAGCCTCCCATCATACAACGCGGATGAAGATGGCGGTGAACTTCGTTGCATCCGGCTGATCAACGCGCATATCGTGGGCGACCTCCTAAAAGACAGTCAGTTCGTGCAAGCTGTGCGCAAGGAGATCATCAAGTGCAGCCTGAACATATCAGATGCGTCTCGCTACACACTCCTTACTCATGTTTACGAGAGCACAAAGGACCGCTGCGCTCTTCGGAAATTGTTCATCGACTTGCACATTCTCAGGAATAAGCACACAAGGGCTCAGATGCGTGAAGCTCCGAAGGCCATCACTCATGACCTTATATACCGTTTACTGGAGAGGTCGAGGACTCTTCGTGACGAAGATGTCTGGAGCTTCATGAGGGATGAAGGATATATCGAACAGGACGAGGCAAATATTGACGAGGTAGATGACACCACCGGGAATGAGAGCCTGGACAGTTGAGCAGGGGAATATGGATTCCGCTAAGCATGGTCATTAGCGATGGTCTGGGGTCATTCGTGCAATCAATGCAAGAGACCTTCGCAGCTATGAGAATTCTGGTTATGAAATAGATGCGGCTTGTATTCTAGGACAATTAAAGGGTATTTGAATGTGGAATGAACTTACGCGCAACTAGTCAAGCGGGTATTAGACGCATTCGCAAGGTCAGCAAACGTGAGCCCCATGAGTAGTGTCTCCAGTCGTCATAGCACAGAGCTCGCAAGCACACACAAGATGAAGCATAACAACCACACGCACACGACGAATAGGCTGAAACATCGCGCCTTCCAAAGTCTCGAAATGTGTCCAGTCGTCTCCGCCAAGCCGCTCGCATCCCACTCCCGACCTCGCATCCCTCGCCCAAACCAGGTTAGTCATCAAACCACCGAAGAACAGCCAGGTTCCTGCATGCCACTAAACCAAACCCGGCATTGTAAACTTCATCAACCACCCACTACTAACCTATACAACCAATCACGCGCACTACGCAGATGTGCGCACGACGCCCGTGGAATCCGGGTCGGAGGGTTTGGCACGACCGTCTCGCCGTTACGCACGTTGCTTTTTGCCGATGTATGGGGCTGAAAGGCGTGGGAACGGCGTTAGAACCACGTTTACGCTTCTAGCAAGCACCTGGGCATGCAAGGCGCAGGTGGCCCTGCGTTTTTTTTGTTAGGCTGACAGGCGGTGGTGCGGTACTGGTGTATTCGGTATGTTCCGGATGGGAACGTGGGTGGAGGTACATATACGAGGCTACAGTACTTTGAGGTAGTGAACCGCTTCATCAATTTCGCCTCTCTTACCTGCTTTCGTGTGGGGGGTATTCAACTACCAGGACGCTACGATGGCTGCTACCAGCACCCCACCAGAAAAGGAACCGCACATATCCTCCCAACCCATCACCTGGAAGAACTGGTACAAGAAGATAAACTGGCTCAACACAACCCTCGTCATCCTAATCCCAAGCTACGGTCTCTACCTCGCCCGCTCCACACCCCTCACCCTCCCAACGTTTCTATGGAGTGTTCTCTACTACGCCACAACCGCCTTCGGCATCACAGGCGGATACCATAGGCTGTGGAGCCACAGATGCTATTCCGCACGCCTTCCCCTACGCTTATTCCTCGCATTCACAGGAGCAGGAGCAATCCAAGGCAGCATACGGTGGTGGAGCGCTAATCACCGCGCTCACCACCGGTGGACGGATACGATGAAAGATCCTTACTCCGTTATGCGCGGACTGCTCTTCTCGCATATCGGATGGATGGTGCTGAACAACGATCCGAAAGTCAAAGGACGAACGGATATTTCTGATCTGGATAGCGATCCCATCGTCGTGTTCCAACACAAGCATTACGGCAAACTGCTCCTGTTCACAGCCTGGATCTTTCCTGCCATGGTTGCTGGTTTGGGATGGGGCGATTGGTGGGGCGGATTGGTGTACGCGGGTATTATACGGGCGTGTTTCGTACAACAGGCTACATTTTGTGTGAATAGTCTCGCGCATTGGATTGGCGAGCAGCCGTTTGATGATCGGAGGAGTCCGAGGGATCATGTGTTCACTGCGCTGGTGACGATGGGTGAGGGGTATCATAACTTCCATCATGAGTTTCCGTCTGATTACCGTAAGTTGCTGCTTCTTTTGAGCTATGGAAGCTATGATAATACTGATGCTTGAAAGGGAACGCGATTGCCTGGTACCAGTACGATCCGACTAAATGGCTCATCTGGATCATGTCGAAGATCCCGGTCTTTCCTCTAACATACGACTTGAAGACTTTCCGCTCGAATGAGATTGAGAAAGGTAGACTTCAGCAGCAACAGAAAGCCCTCGATAAGAAGCGATCGATGCTCGATTGGGGTGTGCCACTCGCTCAGTTGCCGGTGATTAGTTGGGACGACTTCCAGACTCAGGCTTCAGCCAAGGGGGCTGCTTTGGTGGCTATTGCTGGCGTGATTCATGACGTTTCGCCGTTTATCGCTGATCATCCGGGCGGTAAAACGCTGATCAAGAGTGCGATTGGGAAGGACGCTACTGCAGTGTTCAACGGTGGGGTATATGAACATTCGAACGCGGCACATAATTTGCTGTCGACAATGCGTGTTGGGATATTGCGAGGCGGACAGGAAGTTGAAGTATGGAAAACAGGTGGTGAGAAAGACACCAGAGACACCAAAGGGCTCGGTGTTGTCAGGGCTGGTGATCAGATCACGAGGGTAGCTGCGCCAGCTACGGCAGCCACAGCAGCCTGAATAATATGGGATCGGGTATTGTATCATTTATTCCAAACACAGAACTCTGGTATCGTATATGATCCTTATCTTACTTGCCCGAAGGCACCTCCTCCCACTGCACTCCGACCCATTCCTCCACATATCCAACTTCTCCTTCTTGAACATCGTTGGGCTTGCAGTCTTTGCTGCACACTGCCATGATGATAGTGCCCCATTCCATGCCGTCGAGGCTCATCTCATCAGCCTCTAACTCCGTAATCGCGTGTGGGGTCAGCTGAACCTCGAAGACTCTGTCCGCGCCACAGGTCGAACAGCGAGGGAACCCAGCCCCACTCCGTGAGCCTGCTGTCTTGACCTTTGCATTCGAGGAAGGGCCATTCTCCGAGTGTGGACCCAGAAGCTTGCCGATAGCATCGTTGTCGCTGTACAGGACCGGCTTGCCTTTGTACTCATATCGTAGCACCTGCTCTGCATTCTCTCCGATGCGATCTGCAAACTTCTGGAACGTCCTGTCCATGGATGACTCAAACACCTCCTTGTCTTCTTTTCCACCGCCGCTACCGCTTCCTTCATTATCTGTGTCCATCCTCACGTTCGCTGGGATCGAAGGTGTTGAAGGGGCGTCTAATGTCTCGTATTCGGCGTCGAGGTGATAGTGAGGGAATGGCGTAGGGAAGGCTGAGTCTGCTGGCCATGGCTCATATGGACGCGGGGGTTGTTGTTCGGAGGGAGGTGGTGACGAGAGACGAACTTTGGACGCGAACGTCTCGGGGAGGGTCGTAGAGGCTTCGTCTTTCTTCTCTTGGGGCTCGCTGACTTGCACTGCGGGCGTGGGACTCGATACGCCGAAGGGATTGGCGCCTGGTTTGGAGAAGGGGTTTGATGACGCTGCGCCATTCGGGTTGGACGAAAACGGGTTCGAGAAGGGGTTCGCGGATGCCGATGCGCCTGTCCCGTTCTTCACACCGAACAGCGACTCGCCAATCTTGGGCTGCGGCTTCTCTTCCTCCTTGACTTCCTTTTTCTCGGCCCTGGGGGCGTTCGCCTTGTTGTTGACGCCTTTTGCGATGCGCACTCCGCGAATGCCCCTTACACTGCCCTCCTTTCTTCTACACGGCTTGCGCCGACATGTCCAGATGTAAAGTCGCCGCTCGTGGCCAGGAAAGTTGTCGGGAAGATCGCCGTTAAGTTCGAGGAGGAGGCTGAGGTAGCCGTTGCAGACTTTACATTTTGCTAAGGCGCCAGAAGGGGCTGTCTTCTCATCTATCCAGCTCTACTATGATCGTCAGAAAGACGCTCGGCGTGGTTGATGATATGCGTACCGGTGCGCCTCCAATGTGGGAAATCGCGTCGCCCGTTGCTTCCCTCGCTGCATATCCTAGCAGAACATTCGTCTCGGTGTAGTCGCCTCCATCGTCTGAAGAATCACTGTCATAGGGCGCCATTCTGGTTGTTCTTGTGTATATTTCCACAGGTGATTGTTTGGCGGGGTCTAACTTTTTTGAATATGACGCGGGGCTGCTCGGTGGCCAATGCGCCTTTTGTCGCACTGAGCGAATTTGACCAAGCCTGCAACACCAACTCTTCGTCGCTCATCCACACAACCACCATGGGCGCCCCTTTCGACTTCGCGCCTGAGCGGCCGGATCACATGCAGCAGATCCTCGATGGACTGGATCGCTACAACCCAGAGACGACGGGTGTCTTCCAGGACTATGTCATGCAGCAATGCGAGAACCAGACGTACGACTGCTACGCCAACCTCGCCCTGTTGAAGCTGTACGTGTCCCCCCCGACTCTTCCTTCCATGCTACAAGATGAATAAACAACCACAACGTTTCCTATTACCCGAGGGATGGAGCATGAATCACTCCCCCGCTGAAGTTTATTATTAGCTCTATCTGACAGCTTTCTCCTGACTACCATTGTACCTCAAGCATCATCGTTACATCTGCTAACCACGATGCTCCAGCTACCAATTCAACCCACACCTTGCCCGTGACGAGACCATCACCAACATTCTCGTCAAGGCTCTCACCGTCTTCCCCAGCCCCGACTTCTCCCTGGGCCTCTCCCTCCTCCCTCCACACGTCCTCGCTCCTCTTTCATCTTCATTACACAACCCAGCTGCTGGCGACGCGCCGCTATCAGAAGCTGTCCAGAAGCTCAACGAGCTGAGGAACCTGCTCGAGGGTGCCGACTACTCTACCTTCTGGTCCACACTAGACTCCGACGACCTCTACGCCGACTTGATTGCCGATGTCTCAGGTTTCGAGGAGCTGATGCGCGTACGCATCGCTGCAACCGTCAGCCAGGCGGTGCGCGAGGTCGACCGCAGCATTCTCGAGTCGTGGTTGAACCTCTCTGGCAGCGAGTTCGACAACTTCGTCGGAAGCGTTTGCGGGTGGAACATCGATGGTGCCAAGATCAAGGTACCCATCAACAAGGACAACGAGGCTAAGGGCACCGTTGTCCGCGAGAACGTCAAGTTCGATCGTGAGTCTATGAGTACCACAAGCTTTGAGTCGCTGCTAACAAGCCTGTCAGAATTTGCAAGGGTCATCAAGAGGGCATACGAACAGCCCGCATGAGCGACACGATTATAGTATGACGACATGAGGCTACGGTTTGCACGGTCGGCGTTTGAGGCGGACATTACAACTGCATCAGTATGCGACAGAAGCGTACCAGCTGGCCTTCGACAACCGCACAGGTTGATTTCGATA